CCGCCTGCCGCGGTGCTCGACCTGCGGAGCCCTCCGCGCCTGCCTGCGCTCGCCCTTCCAGTCGCACTCCGCTTGCTCTCCTGCTTCGGGTAGCTCTGCGGTATGGTTGTCCCCCATCTAGCTACAACGCTAGCTTTTGTCCCTTGTGTTTCTTTTGGGCTTCTCTAGAATTGAAAGAAATCTTGTGTGAATTTTGCAGGAGTTCTGTCCTGAAAAAAACAGGTATCCCTTTTCATTAAAAATAGTATTGGTTTTGGCCTTTTTATTTCCCCCCCCCCCTTCAGTATTCTGCCACATCATTTACTTTGTGTTTAGTTATTTCTTATGTCTTTTTCTTTCCATTCTTCCCTCAGTTTTCCATTATGACATTTTAAAAATTCTGGTCATAGCGTAATAGCTACATACGGCTGTTTCTCTAGTTATGTAGTCATACCACTGTGCAGTTGCTCTTTTGAGTCAAATTACTTCCTCCATTATTGTCCTCCTCTTTGAATGTCCTCCAAACCACAAGCCCCTAGAATTCTACACCCGTTCCGTGTTTCCCCGGTTCCTCTTTCTGGCAGGGTTACTTGTAAACACGCAAAGCTTCTCCCTATTTGCCCTGCTGCTTGTTCCTGCTGCACAGCAATAAAAATCCTTCCATGGACATAAACATCTCGCTAGGATTCCCAGTTCCAATAGTGTGTTATCTTCCAATATGTGACTACTGTCAGTTAAGTCTTTTGCTCAATTATTTACTTTATTGCAATTTGCATGGATGATAAGGTTTATTTAGACTTCCTCTTCTTGACTTCCTCTCAGAAGAGCTCAAATTATTATCAAAACTCTTGCACAAATATTTAAGCATTAAGGAACTACTTCCATAGTTAAATTGTAGATTGTTACTGAAAATTCAGCCTTGAGAAAGATTACCAGAGTGCTTCAGGTGCTGGTTAGCCATTGGTGAAGTGTATTTTGTTTGTCTATTGATTGTCTATTGATACAATGGAAAAAGAGGGGAAAAAAACCCCACACATGGTGTTTATTTTAACAGGGCACGAGGGTCAATAAAGACCCTTTGGGCAAGTACAGCTTCAAGGCTGGTGTTGCTCTCCTCAAGAGCTAACAAGTAGCAGTCGGGTGCTGTAGCTGTGTTTCAGCCTAGCACCCGGGCTCCCCCGAGCTCTGCTGGAGAAGGGCTCTCTGTTCGTCAGCCTCAGCTGCCCGGTCGCCGTGGTCTGAGCGTGTTCCTCTAGCAAGCCTCCGTCCTTGTGTTGGGCTTGGCCCAGGACCAGCACAGGGATCGTCGGAATGCCCTCGGAACGCATGGCCCTTCCCGAGGCAGTGATGCGGATGTGGGTGCTTTGCCTGGGATGGACACGAGCCTCCGAATCCCCCGCGCTGGTGTGCGTGAGATCCCGGCTTCGCTCCCGCGTGTCCGCGCGGAGCGGGCTCGGTGCGCTGAGCCGGGCGCCTGCCGCGGGGCCGCCACTCTGCCGCCTCGGAGCCTCCCCGCGGGCACGAGCGGCGCTCCGAGGAGCGGAAAGGACCCGCGGTCCTTGTGTCGTGGTAGCTGAGCCCCAGGTAAACAAGAGCAAAGCTGCTTAACCTGTGCCTGCAGTATTTGAATGAATAAACAGAAGGAAACAAGTTTTGCAGACCAGACCAGCCTGTCCTTGCAGGCTATAGCCGGAAAGCTGGCTGTGTCTGGCACGTACTGGTGGCCAGAAATCCTTAGAGCTAACTTTCTTCCACAAGAAGATTAATCCCATAAGGTTTGGTTTCAACATCATTGTTTTTATTCTTCCACCTGAGAGTTTGAAATAGTCTAGCTTCCAAGACCCTTGCCTTTAAATGAAAAAAGGCGCGAGTTAGAACAATCCTTGCTTTATTGCTTGTGCATCTATGTGCATCTTTCCTCTCCTTCCCAAAATTTGCATCTCATATCCAGTTTCTTTTGCAGTTTTGCTCAGCAGAGGGACCCCAGATGTCAGCCAAGCTTAAAGACAACTGATGGAGGCAAGTACTGGTTTACATATTTGCACTTATCTAGTACTGATTTTGGCAGTTTCTCCTTCTGAACAGTTTTGTGTCCCTGTGAAATAACTGTAAAATGGAGAACAATATGAACATATTCTGTGATATAATAATATTGTAGCATCTTCTGCTTACTGTGACTGAATATAATTGCTAATTTTGGCTCCCAGTGTACTGTGCATAGGTATCAGAAGTGTGTTCCTGAGCTTTATGTCAAAGGGTGCTCTATTTGATTTCTGCTCTCAAACAGAGGATACAAAGGTTGTTATAAATGAAAAACCAAACACAAAACCTGAATACTAAGGTAAATAATTAGCAAAAAACAATTAGCACATTTGATAGTTCTTATTCTGAGTTACCTATTCTGTTCTTCCCTTAAAGAAGGAACTAGGACAAATTAAAAGTTTGGGGAATTTCATACCAGAAATCTGAAAAGCACTTTCAGGCCCACACCAGATTTATCAAATGGAAATATGAATGGACAGATGTTCACAAAGCTCCTGTAGGAACCTCTTAAAAATACAAGTTGGTGTAATTTCAGAAATCAGTCACAGAATACAGAAGGCAGTAGTGACTTGTTTGTAAATTAGCTGTAGTCTGACTTATATCAGATTAGTATCTATGTAAGAGGTCTGATTGAAGCAGATGAATGGTTTCTGCCAAAATGATGCATGAATTTCTGGTTAGGCTGAAGTGATGATCTTTAAGATCACCACTATTGCATTATAACCTAGATAGAAAGCTACTGTTGAGAAAAATAAATACCAAATGAATTGCTAAAATAAAGGCAGTCTTAGCTGTCAAGTTGTCTTTTATACATCAATTCTTGGACTTTTGCTATTCAATGAGTGAGACTTTTCCCTGAACCATATTGTGGAGACCCGTGCTTTAACTTTCTTGCATTAGAAAAAGTAAAAACAATATTAAAAATAAGAAGAGAGATCAAAAAGTCCAAGGATGGTATTAAAGACAGAGTAATTTAAGAAAGTATGTTAAGTATGCAACAATAAAAGGTTGGCTGCTAAATATTTCTGACTTAGCCACAGAACTTCTGCATGAATATGGGTAACTAACTTCATTTTTTCTGGGCTGAGGTTTATTACTTTGTTTTCAATGGATTATTCATTAAGCTGATGGAGTATTCATTCAATGTTTATAACATTTTCAAAGTATTTGTGTGTGTGTGTGTGTGTGTGTGTATTCTTGGGTATATACATATATATGCACATGTATATTCCAGTGTTTTGTTTTCTATATATAGTGAATTTCATCTCTCCTCCGCCTGATAGCTAAGATATTTGAAAAAGCGAGACAGCTCTTTTGGGTTTTTTTGGATGCCAGTTTGCAGAGTGTTTTGGAATATCTGCTTCACCTATTGTGTCAGTCTTCAGGTGCACAAAATTGAGAGCTCTGTAATTGTAACCTCGATGCATTATGCTTCTGCAGCTGTTTTGAGATAGAAACGAATGTGCTTGAATCCCAAATATGTGTTGCATTTTAGATAAAATGAGTTTTTAAAGCTCAGACTGCCTCCTGCCAAGATTGAAATGGACCTCTGTGATCCAGGTTTTGTATTTATAGAATCAAAACTTTATCCTGCAAGAAAGCAATGATCAGCTTCCGAGCATGTGATCTCATGGTGCAGATGTGAAACTCTTCAGATACTGTGTCCTTCCTTCCTCCTTCCCGTGCTGCACTCCTGCCGTAGTGCGTTGCTGTGCAAGTGCTCAGCTGCGAGGTAGCATAACCAACTGCCCGAGCCCAGACTGGTATGAGAGGTGAGGTTGAGATCTTCTGGGGAAAAATACACGATTTCTCTCCATATTAGAACTTGAGCTACAGACACGTGGTGCAGCTACCATTTCTCTTTCAGGTCTGTCGCTTAATCTGCCCTTTTAAAGGTGCTTTTTATTTTCTCTAAGAATTGTGGACAAGATTATTCTTACTGAAACTTTGCGCTTGCCTTTTCTTGCTTGAAGGCAGATTATCACATCTGGTTGCCAGTGCTGTTGCTGGGTGCTGGCGGTAATGAGACGTTTCTTACAATTTGGAAAAGCAGCATAACTGCTTTGGAAATGTTCTGGTTTCTTGCATATGTGAATTTTGTGAAGTTAGGCATTCCTCAGGGAAATCAGGTAGGTAGAACAGACATGACATTTGAAGCACAAGATCAAATCTTTGATACAAAACAAAATTAATTCTGCCAGAGTAGCATGGTATGCCTTAATTGATCTATAGAAGTCTAACCTCATGTTCTCTTAAGTATTATTATGGGCTCTGTCCTTAAAACAAAACTGTTATTTTCCTTGCTTCCTCCTTTTAGACCAGCGTTTTTACCTCTCTTGCTTCCATA